CGGCATCCATATCGATAATGCACCTCAAATTTCATGTTTTCTTTTCGGAGTGTTTTTGGCACTTTCAACACGTTTCCAATTAAAACGCACCTCCGTATAGAGGTTTCTTTCCTCTAATGACTAATCGACACGACTCATCAAACAAGTTTAATTTTTTCAACGTTCATGGGCCAGTAAAGAACATCAAATACATTAATGGGAAAAATTAATGAAAATTTATGGTTGAACATTTGTGTTTTCCAGTTATGGCTTGTTGTTGTTATTGTTGTTGTTTTCATGAAAAATATCCTGTTCCATTTTCCATCAGTCTCAATGCCGCTCATTCAACTCTAGCATTTTTTGGGGCTCTTTCGACTCTGTCGCATATATAATAGCGTTTATTCTGCAGTTTTATTGCAGTCGATTCAATTGTGATCCACAACCATTCTGATCGTGTATTCCTCATATATAAGCCCGCACATCTTGTACGAACCCACAACACCTAGAACACTTGATTTCAGTCGTATTTTCTGAGGAGATACGGCACACTGAATTTCAGCTCTAGCTAGCGAAGCATGATAAATTTTTGAATTCTTGTGATCATTGTTCGGTTGCTATCAGTAACCTGAGGTGGCCTGAAACACCCAACTTTACCTGTTCGAGGACATAAGCTTTTGAGAAGCGATTCCGCTGGTCGATAGAACATGTGGATCTTATCATGAATATCAGCGCGATGCTTTCAGAAGGAAATCGCTTCGGGAGACACGAATTGATTGATTGTATTTTCAGCGATATGGAACATGTATCCCTCCCGGAATACCACAGCACAATATCGGCTCGTCCAGGATACAACCGCGCAATCGGTTCAAACGTCTCCTTCACTCCATTCGGATCAATGTGTTCGTTGTTTTATCTTCTTGATGCTTTTCAGCTACCTTAGTGATTTAACACTTAGAGATTCCAATCTTGAAGTGATATTTAGTCGTGAAACTGAAATGGGTAGATTTCGAGCAGCCTTACACTGGCCTCGTGTTAACTTAATTTACCGCGCATTCAGTAGCTGAGCGTGATCTTCGAGTAATTGTTGTGTGATCGAAGACATTGCAATCGATATCATTTTTGATATCAACAGTATCTATTAAGAATCATAAAAGCTCGAAAATTCAGATAACGATTTAAATAAATCCANATCATTTGTGATATATGGTCGTGAAAGTATTTATTCGTACTTCTGTAATCACAATTTATGCTTCTGTAATCATGAAAAGAGATTGTGCAATATTTTATCGTTGATAGAAGAAATATTTTTCTCGACAATCTTATAGTCAGACATNAGACGAGTTACCGAAAAGAATTTTTCATCGAGCCAAAAGAAAGAAAACTTTTGCTGAACAATAAATAATAACATTACATGAATATTTTGACTTATTTCGCACATCGGAAACATAAATTCTGAAGTTTTTCAACGATATTCCCGAAGAAGTATTATAAAAGAATCACAAATCATTTGTGATATATGGTCGTGAAAGTATTTATTCGTACTTCTGTAATCACAATTTATGCTTCTGTAATCATGAAAAGAGATTGTGCAATATTTTATCGTTGATAGAAGAAATATTTTTCTCGACAATCTTATAGTCAGACATCGTTCAGTCAGACATCTCGAAATAGACTTTTATGCAAACCATTTGAAAGAAATCCTAGACTCTCTGCAGTTGTTACATAGTTCCGTGAATAATTGTTTGTTCCTAATTCGGGAATAGGATTGAAGTTGGTGAAAACCGAAAGTGACACATATAAAGGCAGTAAACTGAAATTCTAGATCCTCATGCAACGATTTTAGCGTCTGGAGGTGGACGAATTCTGAAGACGGTAACAGAGATCGGTTCATCGTCGATTCATAGCAGCGGTCTTTCACCGTTCGGTCAGAATGCCGCTTCTACGATTCGCGACACGCGTGAACGTGAAAAGAAGGAAATGAGCGATTTGAATGACAGACTTGCTTCATACATCGAAAAGGTGTCGTCGTGCTTTATCCTCTGCTCATTCAGTCACGAATTATTGCTACCTATATGATCAGGATCATGCATACACCTCGTCATGATCAACGAATATCACCTCCTACCATTCCTAATCCCTCAGCTCTTTGAACAAATGAAATGGTCAAGATTTTCGGAGATTTTGATGGATTTTCAAACTATCCGATGTTTTGAGCTATTATTTGAGAATATAGAATTGGAAGAATCATGATGAATGCGATAAAGACAAGAAAATTGCAAGTACTTATGATTACGGTGAAATGGCTGATGGAATCAACTCATGTGACGTGAAATTATGTTGAGGACTGACTTTTGCAGAGATTGCTTCTGATAAGTCGAATGCATTCGTTGCTTCAGTCTGAAGAAGAGCTTATGATCAATTGTTTAGTCCCACAATGAAATTTTAGGTGCGCTTCTTGGAAGCTCAAAACCGTAAGCTCGCAGCAGACCTGGATTTACTCCGCGGACGTTGGGGCAAAGACACAATGAGCGTCAGAACGATGTACGAAGGAGAATTACAGGTGTGTCGCAATAAAGCGTCCGAGTATGATGCATATCGTAATATCAGCATGTAAATCGTGAATCATCAGTCTTTCTCAACACACTCCACCCTTTAATTAGTCTATTTGAAACGATTCACTTTTGAGGAGAATTTACTGACAATTTATTTATCATCATTGATAGTGTTCATTCGAACCATCCCAATTAACACTTTTCAAGCATTCAGCAGGCATCTTTCAAGAAATTCTAAGATTTCGTTAGAAATTAGTTGAGAGGAACTGATTCAGTCGATAAATAATTGTTCTTTTTCTTTGGTCTGCCCGTCGATCTAACTCAAATAAATTCTTTATTTTTGGTGTGTGCTT